AAAAAAAGTGTTACTATACTTTTAATAATAAGTCTTTGAATTAACAATAAAAGTAAAATTTACATGGATTTTTCGCTAGATGAGCAACTGTCAAAAGAACATTCAAGTATAAATAAAGATGGTGTTTCAATGTAGAAAATATTTTTCATATTTTAGAATATGACATAGTATATAGAGCAAGACTTCTATCAACTTAAGTGGATAGAGAATAGTTGTCCACCAAACTTTTTAGTCACTCATTTATTAATATAAAAAGTCTCTTCATATCATGCAAGGATCCCTAGGCAAGATCCATGGATAAAAAGTTTGGTAGAACACTATTTCCTATCCACTTAAGTTGACACAAGTTTTCACCTATATATATATTCTCTTTCTCTTATCACTTTCTCTCTCTTCCCTTCTCTCTTTTTTTCACAACCCACAGCCTCTCCTATTCACGCTCTCTTCTTCTCTCTCCTTTCTCGTTCTCTCCCCTTCTCTTTCTCCTTCAAGATCCATGGATAAAAAGTTTGGTGGACAACTATTTCCTATCCACTTAAGTTGACACAAGTTTTCACCATAGTATATATAAGTCAATTTTCAACCATCAAGCTCATATTCTATATCTGGTGTTTGGTAAGTAAGTTTACTATGACGTGAAAATAAGACGATTTATCCCCAGCGGGTGGGACAAGTGGTTAACAGCTCCACGATGGAGATCTCCATAGGCTTCGTGCCCTGCTGGCCCTTGTTACAATTCATTATATGTAGAATCAAATATCACTGCATCAATACATCAGAGCAAAAGAAAGAACATTTTCCCCAAAAAAAAAGCTCAAAAATAGCAACGGTAGGCTTTTCGCCCAAGAATGCTGGCTCCTGTTCTTGGGGTTTTGTCTGCTTTATTCATTTATACTGGTGCAGCTCCATTCTGCAACCCACTGAAGTATGAAGATGGTGGTCAATATGCCTGAACTTGAATGGAGTCCTTGATGAACTTAGACAAGGTTATACCACCGGCCAAAGGATTAACCCCGATGTAGGAGGGAGAATTTTATGCTACTGCGGTCAAGAAGAATGCATAAGTTAAGCCAATACACTGCTCGATGAGATAACTGATGCTCGCGATCACCACAAAGGCTCAAAGATCACTAGGAGCGTGTGCAGCGTTCACTTTGAGCCCCATGTGTTGTAGATAATATACCGTCCTCTACATCTGATTTCCTTTTGTTTCTTTATGTTTGGGGTTGTTTTATCTTGTGTTTTGTTTATGTCATTCATGTGTCGTTGAAGAGAAGTTAACGAAAGAAAAGTGTGTTTCCATGTTGGGTAAGTATGAAATGTTTTCAATTATCTTTCAAGCTTTCTTATACTACCAATGAAGATGTTTAACTGGACATAATCATCAGAGATATAAATGTCTAGAACTCTCATCAGTTGAAATAAAATGAAACAAATAGGAATATTCGCATAACGGAAAAAGAGTAATGAGACCTCTTTGGAAAAGTAATGTACCTTTAGTATCAGTAGCCTCCTCAATCATCTCAATGATGTTAAATATGAAATCCTATACGTACGAAACCAGTGTAACAAATACTGATATATAAAGGGGAAAAAACCTGTATCCTAGCATGGTCATAGTCTTGGATTCATGCAATATGATCAACAAGAAAATGTTGGCAAGCAAAAAATTGAATAAGAGGTCTACCATTAACATGACAATATCTATGGTTAACATGAAAATAAATCTAAGTCGTCTGTTGATACAGTGATAACCTACTAGTTAGCAAGGTCGACACAAACAATTAAATTCTGTTTGGTAAAGATCTAAGAAGGAAGGATCAAGATGAATCCATTTTCAGTAGAAAAGGGTTTAATTAATAAATCTCTTACATAAGAAATTTATTAATCCTTGCATATTTCTCTGTTTAGAAAGAGGAAGGGTCAAAACGGAGTATGTTAATCATTTTTACTTTTAACAAATTAGAATGTATTAACCTATAATACTCCATGTGTTCATTTCTTGTATTTGACAAGTAATGATCATCTCTCCTTAACCCATCACTCAAATCTGTTGTGAAGCACCATCTTAAGGAAAATGTAAGCTATGTGATCAAATAAAGAACCTTCAGAACCTTGTTAGCATGCTTAACTTGTTCATTGATCCCCAAGAATCATTGAGGTCCTATAACTGTTCGACGGTGATGTAAGCTATGTGGTTTCAAATATATCTGCATAACCCCCAAAGCAAAATCTCTTCGATCTGATTTAAGTGCGATGGAGATGAAGATGAATTAGTAACAGGGGGCCAAAAAAAAAAAACACTATGAGCTTTTACTTTAAGCATGCAGCCGCATGCAGACGATAGAGAGGGCTCAGGTTGAGAAGTACCTTACAAAATTTATCGTGAGATGACTACGTCTCATTAGCAAAACTAAAAAGAAAGTAAAATCCACCTTCAAGGTCCTAATATCAATGCTCAACTTCAAACTTGTAGTTCTTTTCCTCATGTTATAGCAGTTTAATTTCTCCTCATCATTTTTTCCACCTAATGAGTACTGATGGTTGAATCAGACCCCCCTGAGAATCTCGATACAGCATAGAAATATAGGATTCTGTATTATAGTGAATCTTGCAAAGTATCAAGTTTTGGGGGACTTATTTCGTAAGTAGATGAGATTTGGCAGACCAATATCTTAAACACCCATATAAACAAGATGTACAATATTGAATTTTTTTTCCTCGTATTTTAGGATACGATGCACGGATGCAGTATAAGTAAAATTTTTAACCACCAAGTGTTATATGTATGGGTTCTGTTAAGTAACTTTACAATAGTAAAAAAAAAAAAAGAGGATGATTATACCTCAGCTCCCAGACGGGAAACAGGACATGTAATCGGAGTTTTCAAGGGAAACATTTGGATCTTCTGAGGAACTATTTTATTTGTATATTTATTGTAAGGGTAAAAAAATTATACATAAAAGAAATTGGATCTTGCAAGTGATCTTCCCATATCCGACATAATTCTCCCTGAGAAACTGAAAACCCGCGAAGCGCCGGCCAATTGCCACATTTGTCCAGTTAAAGTAAATTATTTAAAAATCTGGAAAAAAAAACTAAATAAAGAACAACTAGAGACACTTTGCTGTACTAAAGAGAATCGGTCATTTCCTTACCATTCACTATATATAGTATCAAATTCATTGCATCGCTACATCAAAACAAAAGAAAAAAGAAATTCCAAAGGAAAAAAAAAAGAAAAAAAAGTAGCAATGGCTAGCTTTTCACCAAGAATGCTGGTTCTTGTTCTAGGGATTTTGTTCGCTTTGTTCATGTATACTGGTGCAGGTCCATTGTGCAACTCACAGACATATGAAGATGGCAGCCGATATGCCTCGAATTTGAAAGGAGTTATTAAGGAACTAAGACAAGGTTATACCACCGGCCAAAGGATTAACCCCGACGTGAGAGGGAAAGTTTTATGCTACCGCAGTCAAGAAGAATGCATAAGTTGTGCCAATACACTGCTCGATAAGGTAACTGACGCTTGCGATCACAACAAAGGTGCACAGCTGTCTAACAGCGTCTGCAGCGTTCGCTATGAACCCTATGTGTTCTAGAAAATATGTTGGGTGTCCCTGCAGTTCCTTATGTCTGGAGTTGCTTTCGTTTGTGTCTTTGTTTGCATTTCGCCATGTTCCTTAATTACAGAAGTTTGTTTTTTTTTCCGTGTTTGCTTGCGAGGAAAATTGGGACAATATTGCATTTAGGTAAAAGAGAAGTTATTGGAAGTGAAGTTTGTTTTTTTTTATGTTCGGTAACTATTTTATCTTTTGGATGTTGGATATGAATTGTAATCTCATTTTGTAAAATGAGGTATTAGGATACAAGAACGGTGAGGTATATTGTTCCGATATCACTAGGATGATGGACTTTATCACTACGGTATCTGTTCTTAACCGATGTAGCACAATGAGCTGACACCTTGTACCTAGATTTTCCCTTCATGCATCTTCTATATTTGGGTTTTTTCGTTGTCGTATTTGCAGATTTGTAGCTAGATGTAAAGATCGGAAGTAAATTGTTAATCTTAGAAACAAGTTGGTATACCAGGGTAGGGACTAATGGCCTAAGTAAATGAGCTTGAAACCTACATGCCCATAATCATGGATTCATGTAAAATATGATCAATATGAAAATGGTGACAAAAATTTGATACTTCAATGGAAATAGGTCTAACATGAATATAAAATTGACACAGTACCTCCAGAACGGAAGAACCTTGACAGCCGCTTCATTGATCCCTACGATCATTGAGGTCCTTCACAATGACATGAGATATGTTGGTTTTCAAGTACACCTGCAAATTACTTGATGGAAAAGCTCTTCAATCTTGATCAAAAGGACACAGGGATGAAGATGAACTAGTAGGTAGGAGGAAGGAGGGAAATAATACCCAGCTAACGGAGAGGAAAATTTGCAACCTGAGAGAGCTCAGGTTATCCTAGATTAAAAAAATTTGCATTACATCCTATCAAAGAAAGCATCTTTTGCAATAAATTTCAAAAACAAAGTTAAAGAATTCCAATGCTCTATGTATTTGAGCATCTGATCATCACAAAGACAGCCGACTCGTATCTCATGCTCATACTCACTATCCAACCAAAGAGAAAGTAAATCCACTTTCAAGGTCCCACTATCAGTGATCTAGCTTCAACCATGGATTTTTCTTTTCCCCCTCTTGTTATTGTAGTTCTTTTTCCTCCTCTCCTCCTGTTATTTTTTTACCTAATCAAGTACTGATGGTTGACATCAACCTCACCTAATCAAGAGAAATGTAGAACATATCATTCTCCAAACTCAATGCTACTGTTTTCCCATGAAATCTCCAATGTTGAAGTGGGCATTAAGAACACACTAGATCTGATCCAGACTGCATTACTACATGAGGAAGAAATTGTTATATCAATTTAGCAATAGCTTTCAAATCCTCAAGCAAAGAAAATATCAGAGAGAAATGAAACAGTAGAAACCTCAGAATGTATATCAAAGAGAAGCATCAAAACTAGAATTCATCAGGCACACAAATTAATAGAAGCAACACAACTTCCAACTGTCAGCTAAGTACCAATTGCAAATAGTAAAGCGGAAGTGTTACCAGCGCAAATAGTAAGAGTGTGCAATCATCGCTATGATCCTTTAATCTTCTCATTTCGGGAAAAACATACCGCAGACAGAACAATTAAAAGAGAACATGTCAACGCTGAAAGAAAAGTTACATTAGATACAATGTGTGTCAGTGCCTCATCTCCACAAGGTATCTGCCACGTTACATTGTTGGCCTTCGAATCCAAGGATCTAACTGCCCATGAACAGGTTTCTTTCTGCAAATCTTTTGGCCTGCAGCGCAAGAACAAATCTGGTTTGCCAATTGTGACCTGTGCATAGCCACTAGCGTCGAGAGGCTGAATAAGAATAATTAGCATTAGATATAACTCGAGCTTGTGAAAGTTATTCAAAATTCAACGTATTCAAAAGAAGCACTGAGAGTCCCAGGGATACATACAAAAAAATACATTAGGCCAACAGTTCCAGATATTGTAATTTCCAGTGTTGAATGCTTAAAAGATTAAATCAAGATAGCTCTTCAGAAAGTTCATGTAAGACGTCATCTTTGCATTTAGCGACATAGAACATTGGTAGCCAATGTTCAAGTGTCCAAGGATGCCGGTGTCATTGACATGCAAACCTTCCAAAGTTCTGTACGGTAATTGCTAACTGGTGAGAATATTTGCCCACTTATCAACATAACAAGTTGTCAGTAGTTTGATAAAGCTGGGAACTTGGGTTATTCTTAAAGTTATGATTTGATATCTTCATATATGTTCTGATACTAAAGTGGAAATCTTATATCATCTTCTATGTCACGGGTCAGTATTGGAGGGACCTGAAGTGTCCTTAAAGTGCCAACTCGCCAAACAAGTATTACAAACTGTTCGATAACGCTTGCAATAGAAGAAAACAAATTAACATGCAGGTAAAGTAATCAATATTTGCAGATCAAACTAAGAGTTAATTGCTGGGAAAAAATGGTTGCTGAAAGCTCTATTGTATATTCACAAGGGCTGAGGATTGCAGGCAAAAAATGACGTAGGCATGCCTCGAGACAAGGGCAGAACAAGTTTAGGGACAGAAGATGTGGCTCATTTTGTGGATATTTAAGCTTCATACTGATAACAAAGGAAGATATTATTCATGATACCTACTGACCACCACGCATAACAATCTCATAGAAATCTGGTTGGTTCTCATAAGATACCCTGACTAACTCTTCTTCTTATTCTTAAACCTTGTACTGTCGTAATCTGATAAGCAACTTTTGTATGGGCAACACTGAATTTCTAGATAGGATTCTAACAATATAACTTTGCGTCAGAATGTTCCACGAATGTATAGGTGACTGTGGGATTCACTTTTGCGGAAAGTCTTTCTAGATTATCCATTAGTTTAGTAGTTATGCTTACGCCTTCTAATCTGATCATGGGAAGGATATAAAAAAAAATTCAGAAAGGGACGAATAATATCTAATATCGCAATCAATTCTCCTCCTAATGCTATCTTTGTTCTGATGAACTCAAACCTGCTGTAACAATTAAGTCCACTCCCCCGCCCGATGCCTATAAAGATAATTTTAAAAGTGTTTTAGTTTTGACATAAAATCAATATTTTTCTATTGTCTCTGTACTTTCACATTTAGTTTTAGATGGTTAAAATGGTTCTAAGCATTGTTGTAGGAGAAATATTTTCTACACATTAAATAGAAGCACATATACTTTTAAAGTAAAAAGTACTACATAAAATGACTTTCATAAATACAGCACAAATATTTCCATTACCTGATTGTAGCTAAGTTTTATCATGCAGTATGACTCTGCCAACTGCCAAACCGACACAAACAAAAAACTAAAACCTAGCTCTATTTATCCTATCCTGGTAACTATAATAGTGCTTATCCTTCATTAGGTTACCTTTTTCCAGGAAAACAAAAAAGAGAGACTGCATAAACCTCTAGCTGATCCTAGATCTATTTGAGTGATGTTTAACGAACCCACTTCCAAACTCACCGGATATCTAGCATGCAATGGCAACTGGACAACAGTCTCATAGCTCTTCAGTTCAATGTTACTCCCAACATCCATGTGGATCTCTACAACTGATCTGTTTGAGAGGGCAGATGGTAATTCCAGATTGGTGTCCCCAAAAACTCCAGCAGCAAGAAATACTGCAAAGATCGGAAAAGAAATAATCATCAAAATTCAAGAAATATTAAAAGGAAATTGTCTTTACAGTCTCAAATGATAAGCAAGCTTCTTACCCCTTTGATCAACAAGATGTTGCAGCTCAAATGGGTCTGCAAAGACCCCAGTTGGAAGCCTCTCAATAATTATTGTTTCGCAAAAATAATCATCCTGCAACTTCGAAGCATCTAACTTCCTATCAAATCTCATTGTGGAAACCAAATGTCGATGAGACCCTTCACCAATCAGATACCGATTCAGGTCTGAAAGCCTGATCTTGTAGATATTGTTAACTGACGATTTGCACAAGTCATTGGAGATGATTTTCTCGGCTAAGAAATCATGAAATTCTGAGTCGAGCAGACTATTGTGGTTATCGAAGTAAGAGGCAGTGAGATAATTATAAGAACATGGCAAACAGCCAACAATATTAGGAGTGTTACTCCCTGTATGGCCTACAGTACAAGTGCCAACCTAGCAAAAGAATAGGACAAAAATGATTAGTATAATCCTTGACATGGAAACCACCACAATATTTGAGGAACAAAAAGTAAAAAAGCAGTTGCAACTTAATTTGCTGAAATAATAGATAAAAGAATTATCGATAAATGGAAAGTTTGAGACCAAAAAAACTTAGTACTACTTAGTTAAAACATTAAAGGTCATCAATACATCCACTGTAAAACTAAAATGATAATCATAAACACAAAATGAGCCCTAGTCTTCTAAAAAGTAAGTGATATATGGAGACTGCATTGTAATTCATAATAAATACACCGTCGGTAAAAGCAGGAAACAATTCCAAACAAAAGACTTTTGTTACGTGACTCCTCAAGTTACTCCAAATATCAAATATATATACTTCGCTTCCACAACTAACACTAATCATAGAGCACATATACAAGCGCATCTACTAAAGCAAACTATAAACCTCCAAGATTAAAAACAAACTGACAAGTAGAGTTACTTAAACCAAGCCAATTATAGCCGACTATAACTGTCAAATCACATCCCTAAATCATACACTTCCATAAGCTACAGAAAAATATTGAATGAGAGCAGCCATAGAACTGACAACATCCCTTATCAAGTACAAATTTCTCCTCTCCTAACAGTAACTAACTTGCATGTTTCAGCTCTAAAAGGAGTTCAAACTCTATTAAGCCCCTATGGTTTCATCTGCGAATCTATTAAGCCACCGTGGTTTTTTTCGACTCTATTAAGCCATCGTGGTTTCATCTGCGAATCTATTAAGCCCCCGTGGTTTTTTTCGACTCTATTAAGCCCCTGTGGTTTCATCTGCGAATCTATTAAGTCCCATTTGAAATTCAAAGCACGGGGCTTAATAGATTCGCAGATGAAACCACAGGGGCTTAATAGATTAAAAAAAAGAATGAGGGCTTAATAGATTCGCAAATGAAACCACATGGGCTTAATAGAGCCGAAAAAAACCACGGGGGCTTAATAGATTCGCAGATGAAACTACGAGGGCTTAATAGAGTCGAAAAAAACCACGGGGGCTTAATAGATTCGCAGATGAAACCATAGGAGCTTAATAGAGTTTGAGTTCCTCTAAAAGAGGACATTTTCTCGGGTAATAACAATCTATATAAAAATTAACTTTTCTTAAAAAAATTTTGAAGAACATGGGTCTAAAGTAAAATGAAGAGATATGATAATGACTTACTGGATTTCCTTCAGTAATCGCAAAAATAACAATCGTCAACATCAACAATAAGCTTAATATGTATTCCAAAGAGAAGCTAACCTTTTCAGGGCACGAATCCACAGGATCTCCTTCACTGCCAGAGATGAAGTTGCACAAACAACAAATTGAAATCACCACCAAAACTCGGGCAGCAGGATGACATGAGGTGCCCATTAACGGCCAATCTCATTTCTCAACAAAACCTGCCCTGCTGAAAAGCTGGGGAACCATAGAGGGAAAAAAATCATTAGTCAGGCAAAAATATCGTTTTGTTATCTCACACCCAATGTTTCATTTTTGAACTGAATTTTCCAGTTTTGGCATGCCAAGATTTCATCTTTTGACTGAATCTCATAGCAGATGATTCCCAGCCAATCAATGGACACCGAGCAAAGAAAAATTCGTTTTTGAAGTTAAATGGAAGCGCACCAAAAAAAACTGTGAACAATTTTGGTTAATTTAAAAGACTAACCTTTGTAGGTTGCAGATCGAATTAATCCCCAATCTCGCGGTGGCTGAGAACGAAAAGGGACGTCTGGCGGCGGCGGCGGCGGCGG